CGTTCGTTGGGGCCGCCTCTTGCCCAGAGTGTGTGGACGGTGTCGTGCGGTGTGTTTTGGTCCCATAATTTGCAAACAATCAGCTGATCAGCGCTGCTCTACTTGACAGCCCGACGCCATAGGGTCGCCCTGGAGACCATAAGCGTTGTACCGGGTCGCCTAGTTACCACATAGCTCCAGAAGACATAACTCTACGGAGTCGTCCTGCGCGCGCAGCCGTCAAGATGCGCGGTGTCAGTCTGCGCACCGCTGCTGCTGCCAAAACTGACAATCGCCAATTCTATTGTATTTTATTTTTATAGTGCTGTTTTTTTTTTACAAATTCTGTTAATTTAAATAGTTTATAAGTAAATTAGTGATAAGTTATATGCAAAGCCAAGATGCAGGAACTTCTACTGCCAACGCATCACTAGAGAACCATGTCCAGTGCAGGCTCTGCGCGCAGCCCCGGTTTTTCAAAGGTGAGAGAGGCTTACGTATCCACATTGGTAAATGCCATAAACCTCTAAATATACATAGCTCAGTACCAGCCTCTTTACCTGTTCCCCATCCGTGTCCGCAACAAAATTTACACATATCCGAACCATTTTGGCTCCAAATCGCCCATCTGAAACAACTTTTCCCAGTGCTAAAACGTATCCCAAGGGGTGCAAGAGTTACCGTCGCCCAACACTTGACTAAACTCATTCGAGATACAGTACGCCTCAACTCAAACCACTCCTGGGAGCGTTTACTAACCTTTCCCTTTCGTATCCTTCATATCGAAAAAGGCACGGAGCGCAATTTGTCGCTCACGACACTTAATAAACGCAATTGCAGTACCAACCTAAATCCGACCTTATTCCAATCCCCAGTTTCCTACTCCCCAACATCAATTCGTAACCCATTAAAATATATAGAAAATAAAATAAGTGATGGCGACATCAAGGGTGCTGCGCGTTTATTATTTTCTAACGATGCGGTGGCACCGGACTCTCCAGAGACTCTCCCTGCCCTGCAAGCCAAACACCCGTCCCCAGCCTCCGACACGACTTTCCCCACTGCACCTGGCCTCGCGGACCAACCGCTTCAAACGTCCAAAGATGCCGTCCGCTTTGCACTTTCTTCCTTTCTTCCAGGATCAGCGGGCGGCCTTGATGGCCTATCCCCACAGCACCTTAAGGACCTTACCAGTGGATGCTGTGGTGAAGCCGGTGAGTCCCTGCTTGAGGCCATTACCTCACTGTGCAATTTGATACTGAGTGGGAAAGTGGCCACCGATATCGTCGACCTACTATATGGAGCCAATTTATGCGCCCTTAAAAAAAAAGACGGCGGCATCCGCCCCATCGCAGTAGGTTCGACATATCGACGTCTCGTAGCTAAGATCTGCTGCAAAGCTACAGCGGATACGCTCGGGACTTATTTCCAGCCTATACAACTCGGGTTTGGCTCTAAAGGCGGCTGCGAGGCCGTACATTCGCTCCGAGCCTTTGCAGAGTCCAAGGGTGGTGAGGTAATTTTAAAAGTCGACGTCAAAAACGCTTTCAATACCGTTGATAGGGGCACCATGCTGTCACAAATCAGACTGAGGTCTCCAGCTCTATATAACTTTATGTGGCAGTGCTACAGCAAACCATCAAAACTTTTACATAAAGACCACCTCCTGTCCTCCTCAGTCGGATGCCAGCAGGGTGACCCTCTCGGCCCAGCCATTTTTAGTCTGGCTATACACCCAATCATCGACCATCTAAATTCTAAATTAAATATGTGGTATCTTGATGATGGCACCCTGGGGCTCCGGTGCCCACCATATTTTCAAAGAAATCGCAAAAAGATTGGTGGAGACCGCAGAGCTGGCGGCTATTTCGCCCAGCGCATAAGCCTCGCCATTCAGCGGGGAAATGCCGCCAGCGTCCTGGGAACCTTTGCCGACGGGGACGATCTAGGGCAGCTTAATTTTTAATATTTTTAATATTTGTATAGTTTTAGTGTAGTTTTAGTTTAATATTTGCCATGTTACTTATATATACTATCCCTTATTTAGATAATTATTAATTTTTCATAAAAAAAAAGAATTAACTCCTTTCATAATGAGTAGATAAAATTTAATACAAGTAAATCCATGTATCAGAAAAATCTGTATTATATTTTACAAAAGATCAAATTAAAAAACCCGCAACATTTTTGCTAAGCCTGTCAAAAGAATATAAGAAATATAGATCCATATTAGAGAATTCGGAATAATGATGCGTTCATAATAGTAATAGTGGTCAAACTTAAGTTCTTTTTACTGAGGTCAAGCCAAAGTGAATATAATCACTATGTAGTCAAACTTGTATATTACCAATTCGCTGTTTTTTTTTAAAACATCGATGCATCGAGTATGTAGAAAGCTTTTCAAAACATCGGATTGATTCGATGTTTTTCATTGCAAACATCGATGTTTTCGATGCATCGATGTATATCGAATATCCCTACAACACTATTCTCTCGGTACCGCGCTGTGCGTTTAGTCCGTTTGTCCGTCCATGAAGTTTCATAAAAATTGATCTAAATTCGAAAGAACTAATTACTGTTCTTCATTCTCCTTTTAGTGAAAAGCACTTGTTCCTGAAATTTATCATATCGGTAATGTTAGGGAATAGCATTAAAACTACAAAACTATAATATATTATGTATTATTATATTTAGTTATCCATAATTATATTTACGGCTTCCGTTAAAAATTTCACGTTCAAATCATTTAATTATAATATCGCTCTCTATCTTTTCTTTATATCTAACTAGCTGACCCGGCGAACTTCGTACCACCCAAAAGTCGATGAATGTGATTAAATTAATTTATATGTATTAAATTATTGATTTTGCAGCCGCAATAAAACAAATACAAAAAAGTTTAATAGTCTATAAGGATTTTAAGCCACCATTAAATTTCAATAACTTATAAAGTATAAGTAATAGTGTACCAGCGAAATTTAAAACGGGATTTATCGTGTGCCAGAGTTGCCCTGTATTTGCCTAATAACTATTCTCCAAACACAGACATCCCTTAATCTCTCAGTACCCTACGACTTCTTGGGAAAAGTTTTATATTTTTGGATAATTAAACCCAATGGAGTAAAATTTATGTTCTAATGAAATAAAAACTGCGATATTGATACTTCAGTATAGTGTTGAAGTTATATCCATCGTCTCCTTACCAAAATATCGGCTAGTATTGCAACTTGTCTTATGATAACAGTATTTTCTTTAAATTACAATATCACTTTCTAAAGTGATCATCTTCTATCTTAACAGATTTGCAGTAGTTACAAATAAGCAGCCATTCTTGAGTTATAAATGTTCTAACTAACACGACTTTGTTTTATATGTAGATTATCCGAGTAAACTATTGAACTTTTTTGTGTTTGTTTTATTTCGCTTGTAAAGTCCTAAATTGAATTAAGCTAGATATTTGAAATTGCGATATTTATCGACTGTTATAAAGGCGGTACGCAGTTCGCCAGGTCAGCTAATTATAATATAATTGCAATGCACTTATTCACACCGACCATCATCATAACGTCATTGCAAAATATAGCCACAGTTTTTCGGTGTCAGGGCATCATATCTAACGATTTAAATCTTTGGGCTGAAATAAATCTAGGAGAGATTGTTTTACTTTAAATAGTAAATAATTTGAATACGAACAAAAAAGGAATTTAAAATAATTAAGTAAACTATGAAATAAATAGGTATGATGCCTACTTTCACAAAGTTCCTATTCCATCGGAAAATATTTTTGTGAAACTGGAACTTTTTGTAGCGTCTATACAATAGTTCTCGATCCATTAACCTGTTTCGTGGAACTGCTCCGATATATACGCCCACTTCCCTTCGTGTTCGTATTCCTAACTTGGTAGGCATGCGTCCGATATATCAAAACGAATCCAAAATCCGATTTCAAACACAAATCGATACCGAACGATTTCTCAACAAGAAAATCCGATTTCAGAAATCTAACCGAACCAAAACGCTAGCGATCTAATACCACAAGTATCCAAATGTAAATCGGATTCGAAATTCGTGCTTTAGTTTTCAGAAGTCAGATTTCGTGCTCGGAAGTCCGATTTCGATTTGCTGTTTACGGAAATCTATTGCTCTTCTCTGAGGCGGGATTATTTATCACTGAAAAGATATGTCGTCTAAAAACATCAAAAGTCGAGCACCTTACATTTTTGGACGCTAACCTGAAGTAATTAGGTTTGATTTTGTAAATGGTTTGAAAAATAATAAAAACAAAAAAAAATACTAAAAAAATATGTAAAAAGAAATCATTGTATAAAAGCCGATTTTTAAATGCGTATCCTTGCTTCCTACAATTAATTGTTTGTGATTGTCGTTAGCTAATAAAATCAAATCATAACACAAACTAGTGAATTGGCTAAGTTCGGCACATCTGAAATCGGATATCTAAAAACGGATTTAAAAATCGATTTTGAAATCTGAAATCCGATAAATATCCGTTTGCGTTCAAAACCAAAAACGCCCATGTCTATAACTTGGGGTTTTGATGGGATTTCATCGTTTAATTCTTTCATAGTGGATATTTTTAAACCGTCTGTATAATTGAAGAATTTGTGAAATATTTAAAATATACGCTATTCTGGTCAAGTGGTTGTAAGAAATTTATTGTAGTGTTGCCTACCTCACAGAAACTTACCGAGAAAGCTGGGTCGATACATTTCGTACCCACTTTCGTAACACTTCAAGAAACGTAGGAATGCGTCACACCCACATTCTAATGTAAAAAAAAAACTAAAAACTGTAGACTAGGCTGTAGAGAGATTGTTCCCTTTGCCTTCCCTAAAAAGGGAGAATGTAAAAAATGTTTCTAAGTTTTTGACAGCTTTTATAGGTTAGGTTATTTGAGTTGAGTTGGATTGGATTTGTTTGATGTTTGTTTGTTGGATTTTGGATTGGACATGGATTTAGAGTTGATATTCACATCGTATTAGATGTTCTGTGTATCGTACATTCATACCGTCATAATCTTTATTTATTGGATTATCAATGTTACAAGACAAACTCTGTTCTGACTTACATTTATATCTAAAAGTAATGTTCTCCAAGCAATAATTTTTTTGTTATAAATTGAACATAAACAATATCACCATGGATGTAGATCTACTCAGACCGGGAACAGTGCCAATATCTCCAGACACCATTTTATGGTTTGAGTTCCTTCTTGATCCAAATCTATTGAAAAACCATCTAAGCAAACAGAACCCAGGTAAGCCTTTATCTAATATTATTGTCATTAACTTTTACCAAATGCTTAATGCAAAACTTGTGGTGAAATTGACTCATAAATGAATATGCTATCTACATGATACAAAGAACACATAGTTTTTAATTATTTAAATAGACACATGTATTGATTTCAGAGCCATCAGCATGTGATTTGATAGAAGAGTTTTTATCAGTGGACTCAAAAAATGCTAATTCCAAGCCGACTAGTGAGCGAGTGGTGGATGTAGACGCACCTCCAAGCCCACCCACTGTTACAACTCCAGCCCCTTTGCAATTTACACGGAAACAATTGGCATTAAAAATTCTTGCACTCAAAGTTGCGTCCACTCTTCATTGGAACTTAGGTAAAATTTAGAAATAAATTTTGGTGAATTTTCCAATAATTATTTTGTTTATAAAATGTTTTATTAGATCTGTTAAATTGCATGTATGTGGAATAAAAAATAGTTGGAGAATGGGACTGCCAAAAGCAACCTGCTTCTTCTGCTAAGTTGTATATGTGTCTTAATAGTGGTTGAATGCTCAATTGACAGTGTTACCAAAAAACCAGATACTACATTATTTACTAAAACTACATAATTTACAAGTTTTATACGTAATGAGAGGCAATTATAACTGTCATGTTGTGTTTAAGTTACAAAAACTTGGCAATACCACTGGAAAATCATTGTTATATAATTAGTAGCTACTTTTTTTGTAACCCTTGATAAAGAGAGGTGATTGAGCTTGTTCTCAGAACTGGGCCATTTAATAAGTGCAACCGAAGCAGTGATAAGGATAAAGTAATACTGGGATGTGTACAACGGCCTTTTATAAGCCTATTTGCAAAAAAAAATACTTTTTAACTTAGTAGAATTACTTTGTTCGCAGATATTTTTGAAACGAAGTTGCCTCCACTTTTTCAGCAGCAGCTAATGCAAGATTTGGTATATATGGCCACAGACACTGCCTTCACTGTTCCACCTATAGTTAGTATTACATTGATATTTTTTATTACATGTCCTATATATTGTGCTTATAAATCTATACTATTATTAAAAGAGGGAAAAGGATACTGGGACCAATTCTGGCGTTACATACTCTGAACCTAAACTTAAAATTAGAGAGCTAATTTTAATTTAGATTGAGAGAATTGGTATTCTGAAATTGCGAACTAACTAAACTAAGGACACAGTTGACAGCTGTAAATGAGCATCTAAATTGAATTGACAATGTAGGACACAACTACAAGAGAGGGCTGTTGTCACAGAATCCGTCGGTGACCAGCATGGCTAACACCTTGCCGGGCAGTGAGGGATTCACTCAGGTGGGGACAGCAATCATTTACCTAATATTGGGCCTCAATAATTCATATTTAAATTTAGAGAGGGTCCTCTCCGTAGGTCCTTCTTAAAGGAGATTGCTCAGCTTCTATACATGTTTGGCCTAAAAACCAATAACCATGAAAAATTGTTTCCTACATTCGAAATTATATATAAATTACCGTAGAAACGAATATTATCGACGGCCACTCCTGAGAACTTCTATAAACCATATACACTGAATGATTTTGAGGTTATGTTTGCAAATAGGCACATAGGTATTAGAATAATAAAAACCAAATAACTTATATAGGAAAATAGGGCAATCAAGCCAAGTACCGATATTATGTATTAGATTCAGGTATATAGAGCATGTAAAATAACAGATATGTGCATGTTTTTAAAAACACGAACAGAAACTGTGTGATGATTGTGAATGAGCCACAGATTAGAGAGAATTTTTAAACTCTCGTTAATCAAAGAAAGCTAAGAGCTGTAGGTTATACAGCCATATCTTCAGCAGCTTCATTATTTTTGTTATGTTTTTATTATAACCATATTTTAGATTTTTAGTGTATCACACCTTATAATGTGTTTATTTAGGTGTTTGGCAAAAAATGTACGGCAATAGACTTTATGATGTCGCCTACCATCTATATTAATTGTCTTAGCACATTTGCATGTAGTAAAAATGATAATAAAGTTGTGGATATTAATACCACCCGTGTAATAAAAAAAAATATATTTTATCAATCTTTACAAAATAGATTTGTTTTGATGTTATATAAACAACCTCGATCAGTCTTTGTGAATGTTACTACACCCATAGCCAATAAAAATGATTCGTATGTTTTCCAAACCGGTAAAAATAGAAGTCCTTTTTTAAAATTAATATATTATTTAAAGGTGGCCGTTAAAATCTAATGACTGTAAAATAAAGGATAAATTACGCCAAGAATTACTGTATATGTCAATATTTTATTTGCATTTAGGCCAATTTGACCAATCTCCTTTAGTGTGATATTTCTGATTTTAGTGAACATATGACATTTAGAATACCAGTTAATCACCTAAATCTAAGTTGAATAACTTAGCGACGTCAATTTTAAATTTAAAGATAGTATGTCATTACAGAATACCAAATTGAATTGGACAAGTCTTTATCTAATTTTAGTTAGTTTTAGATGTAAGTTGGCACGTCAGAATTGAGCCCACTGACAGACTGACTGACTCATCAACGCACAGCCGAAACGGCTGGACCTAAAATGATAAAATTTGGACTGTAGGTTTTTCGAATTTTTTGCAATTCAACCTTAAAGAGGTTGAATTTCTTTTGTGTGAAATTTGCAAAAAGCTTTTGTTCGTTAAATCTTATCCCTTGAACCTATTGACTGCAAAAATTTGCATAAACATTATTTAATACATGTACACTAAGCCTGTAACATAAAATTTTTACAAGTCCCCTCAAAAAATTACAAAACTTCCTGTCTAAAGTTTGTATCATCCATAAGTGCATAGAATTGATATAATTTTGCACACCTGTATACTCTGTGTAAAATAAAAATGCTTTCTGTGTTTTCATTTTTCAAAACTAACCTCATAAAACAAAGATAGCATGTTGAAATTTTAAATAGTGCGTCCATGTACGCCTACACTTTTGGTTGTAGAGACATGGTATTTAGCAAATAGATTGTTTAAATGACATTGTCATGAAGCGAGAAAGGATTTTAAAATATTCCACTGTGAATTGGGTGAAATAGGGGTTCAAAGTTTGTATGGGAAAACATGTTTGGCTAGCTTGACAGTTTTGAAACTTGAAAAAAAACCTCAAGATTAAACCTCTCGACGGTTATCATAAAATACATGTGTTTTTTTATTTCACGAGTTTGCTTCCCGGTTGCGGCAGGCGATTTTTTAAAAACTGTAAATGCAGATCTGTCTATTATTAAAAATAAAATATTTAATATACTTACAGCCCATGTGACAAACCCGTGGGACTCCCTGTATATAAGTTTCTGTCCCAGGAGAGGACATAGGATAGTTTTTATTAATAATAATAATAATAAATATTTCCAACACTCACACCAATTAGCCTAGCCCCAAAGTAAGCACTGTAAGACTTGTGTTATGGGATACTATATCTTTATAACAGCAAATAATTTATCTTGATCATAACTTAAATTAACTGATAAAAGTTTTTTTATTAAAAAGGAAGTCACTTTTTTGCTATATTTCAGGAAGTACCTCAAGAGCTGATGCAGCAACCCAAAGTTCAGTTCGCACTGACATTATATCACAGATGGATACTCAGATTTCCAGTTAAAGCTGCTTTATATGCTAAATCAACAAAAATGGCATTTATTCACATGTAAGTTTTTTCATCTTTTATTTCTTAATAAATGTAATAGCAATTTTTTTGTTTCTTATCTTATTCACAAACTTTACTTCTTTCTAGGCCTGGTATGCAAACCGAAGTTGGGTACACCCCTATGAATCAAAATTTTGAAAAAATCTTAAGAATGACAGAACTTGCGAGAATGCAAAGCATAAGATTTCTAGAAGAAATATTATCGTTCTATGAAATTCCACAAAGTTCCACTCACAGAGAATCAAAGAAAATTAAAGTTCCTGTTATGGAAGCATTTGTACATTTGACTGAAGACTCGGATGACCTAAATCATAATTGGGATGCCGGTGATACTGTCATAAGCCAGTATGAATTTGCGATGCAGATACATTTTGACTTATGCTATAATTATTTCTTTTATGGACAGCATGACTTGGCCAAGAAACATATACTTGGTTGCAGAGAAAACTTTAACTTATTGGAAAAAGAAGTGGCTAATTATGGATATGGTACACACAAAGTTATGCCTTGGGGTGAATTTTATTATGCTAGCATGCCAAAAGATGACATACTAGGCTACATCAGGGCACTAAATTTAGCAACAGATGTTTTAAATGAAGACCCTTCTCTTTTACAAAAACTACAGGAATCAATAGCTAATCATTACACTGGTGTCATTGGTGTTTTACAAGCTGACAATTTGGCAAGAGAAATACCCATGATTCAAAGACAAGTGGTTGAACTAGATATTCAAGGATCTGCCTCGAGTGGGGCATTTACTGTAGCTCGAGATTTACTAAATAGAGTATCAGCGTTGAATGCCGTTCGTTATGCCTTAGAAGGTGGTATTCCATCAACACATCCTGATTTTCTTAATAAATTTAAAACTGTTGGTATAAAGTTTTTTGATCTTCTCTTTTGGGCATTGGGACCAGTTTTAACTTCTAATCTGTCTGAAGAAGATTGGGACAATTTGAAAATGTTTTTCCTCCACTTGGCCACTTCGCAATGTAGACTACCAATAGATAGAATAGATGAATACTTAAAAAAACATGTCGGTGATGCAGCTGAAAATATACGTAAAAAAATAATATCAGATGAACAACTTCGAACCATATTGGATGATTCTATTAACCAAGATGATGAAAATATGGATATTCCACGAGAGCTGTTGACTGACGATTGGGAAACACCAGATTTTGAATTCAAGACTGTTCCTGAGCTAGAGATGGGGAGACTTAAAAAGCGACTTATTGAAGCGTCAACTGCTGACGACGTTCGTATGTGTTTGGTAAAATTAGCTATGATGTCACCGTCGTCGCCCTTGTGGAAATTAAGTCCATCGTGGAAGCCCGCAGGTGGTTTAGGAAACGCCTTGGTCTCTTTGCCTAGAGGGTTCTTGCAGGATTTCGGTTATGTAGTTTCTGGAGCGGCTAGAGCGAGAGCGGAAGCTGGATGTGCCCGAACTGCTTTATCACTCCTCTCTGTGCTAGAAGGTGAAGCTAGAAGCCAGCTCGGAGGAGGGACTGACCCGGTGCTGTATAGACTCTGCAGACAGTTGTCATGGGAAGTTTTGCTACTACAAGTGAATGTTATGTTGAGTGAATGGCCCCACCATCGTTTAAATCTGGCTGCATTAGCAAATAAGTGCAAAGCTTGTATAGCGGTTGCTAACTCCGGCGACAGTATCATTCCGCGACCTCAGGTAATAGAAGCATGTTGGAGTTGCCTAGTGAACGCTTGTGAGTGGGAAGGCGTCGGCGCCGTTGCCGGACCTGGGGAAGTAGCAGCTGCTTTGTGCGCAGCTTGTATTGAATTACAAAGAGGAAAAGCAGCAAGAAAATTCCCCAGACCATTGTGGGATTATGGTAAGTTTCTTCTGTTTTCATTTGAGGTGTGCCTCAGGGGTCCATTCTTGGTCCATATTTTTAGGATTCTGTACCTCAAAAGGAAAAAACGGAACCCTTATAGGATCACTTTGTTATCCGTTCGTCCGTCTGTCAAGACCGTTTTTCTCAGGAACGCCTAAAGGTACCAAACTGAAATTCATATCTAATACCCTGAGTACTATCCACTGTCCCCTAAGCCAAACTAATCAAAAGATACAGCCGTTTATGCCGCGAATTTTGAATTATGGTACGAAGTAACGTCTTATAGTACAGATAAAGGAAAAATTGCGAACACCATAAATTTTTAGTTACATCATATTATAAAAAATATTTTTTTGCAGTTTTATCAGTGTACAGCAATGGGTCGGTAGGCCCGGTTAAACGTAATGCAGCAGGAATGGCGTCGCACTCTCGTGACGCACCGAACGCAGCCGCTGAAGCACGAAATGCATTCAACGCCTTTCTAGCAACTCTTAGAGAGCCCCTTGCTGTTAGCGTCATGCTATCTTTACTCGCTCGAATACATAACCTACTCATAGATGACAACACTTTAGAGCTTGTAGTAGAATACACAAATTTGTGGCCGACTACAATATCGAATATAAACAACTACAATGTAAAATATGTTCTCGAATCTCTTACTGATATATTAGAAAGGAGTCTGAAGCTTTATCCTTATAATACTTCATGGTAAGTTTTTTTTTTACTTTTATATCAAATGAAATGTTAGTGTCATTCTGTTAAATTTATTTCCAGTCATCTCTTTGTAATGTCGTATCCTCACATTGACACATGGATTCAAGTTCCACACGTTAATACATTTTGCGCCAACGTTTGACCATACTGGAGGAGCTTGTTTTTGGGGCTTCCACGTATTAGTAGTAAAAACTATTCCATTAAGGGACCGCGAAATAAAACTACCCGCATATTTAGAGAACCGTCAAAACTTTTACCAACTGCCAGTATCTATGGCTTATTTAAAATTTTTGTTTCGCTCACAGACTAGCATGTTTTTTTTCTACGATTTAATTTATATTTATAGGCTTTATCTGTCGTGTCCAATCATCCAGCATGTTTTCTTCAATGGTTTCATTTCTATTTATAGGCTACGACTATACGGTGACGTGGAAATGTGTGGTGGTCGTTGGGGTGCGGCGTTACGTCGTTACTTGTGCGCTTTGGCATCTGGTTCTTGGTATTTCGCGAAACGCGCACCAGATGAGGCCGGTATTGCCAGGAGAGCGGCCCGCTGTTGCCAAGCTTTGGCCGCTCCTACGCAGGCGGCAGCACTGTGCCAATTGCCGGATGAGCCGGACTACACTACCGCCTTCAAGTGCCTCGCGGAAAAGGTTAGTTATAGATTTCTTCGACATTTGTATTGGTTAGCTTTGGTTTTCCACACAATTTAAATGTTTTGATAAACTTCGATGCTGTCACGCTTTGACGACCCTCACGCAGGCGGCAGCACTGTGCCAGCTGCTCGATCAACCGGACTATACTACCGTTTCCAAGTATCTCGCGGAAAAGGTTAATATTTGTATTCTACGTCATTTAAATATTAGTGATAGACATGATTTGCATTGCAAGATGAGACCGCCGCTGTTGCCAAGCTCTGGCCGCCCTTACGCAGGCGTCAGCATTGTGCCAGTTGCTACGTACGTTACGCGTACTACCGCCTTCAAGTGCCTCGCAGAAAAGGTTAGCATTGGTATTCTACGCCATTTACATATTCCTGATAAACGACATTGTTGCCAAGCTCTGGTCGCCTCCACGCAAGCGGCATCCCTGTGCCAGTTGCCGGATGAGCCGGACTACACTATCGCCTTCAAAAGCCTCTCGGAAAAAGTTAATCTTTATATTCTACACCATTTAAATATTCCTGATTGATGACACTGTTGCCTAGCTTTGGCCGCTCTTATGCAGGCGGCAGCATTGTGCCATTTATCGTATGAGCCGGATTACACTACTGCCTTCAAGTGCCTCGCGGAAAAGGTTAGTAATTGAATTCTTAGACATTTAGATATTCCTGATGTATAAGGTCTGCGTTTGCATGGTGACCCGCCCGCTTTTGCCGCTCCCACGCAGGCGGCAGCACTGTGCCAGTTCATGAGCTGTAATAGAGTGTTATCTTTGTGTATCACGGGAAAGATTAGCTATAGAAATCTATAGCACGGGAAAGACGACCTCCATGGCCGAGTGGTTTGTATGCCGGGTTTCATGGTGTTGCCGACTCGAGAGGTCTCGGGTTCAAATCCCAGTGGGGGCAGATGTTTGTGTGATGAATACGAGCATTTGTACTCCAGTCATGGATGTTTAATATGTATTTCTATATAAATATACTTATATATGTGCAGTATATGTATTCAATCCATTACCCTAGTATCCCATAACACAAGCCTTACAGCGCTTACTTTGGGGCTAGGCTAATTGGTGTGAGTGTTGGAAATATTAATATTATTATTATTATAGCATCTCACAACTCTTAACCTATCTTAAACCCCCATTTACAGTTTTCAGCATTCGCACGCCAACTAGGAGAGACACGGCACATAAAACATTTACTGAGAGCCATCCATGCCCATCGATCCACCATATGTCGGTTTTGTTTTTCGATGATGTAAACACAAATTGTCCTTCACGTTATACTACAGTGGTATTTTGTCGAGTACTTTTTAGCAATTCAAACGATAATGCCAGTGGCTTGATGTAATTAGCCTATTAGACACATATTATTGGCTATTCGCCAAGCCAAAAAAAAGTGCGTTTCGCCAGGCGTGACAGCCTGCGGGTGCGCGGCCATTCGGAGACGGGTTCCGCGACCACACCCGCCCTCTCAGCACGCACTAGAGGGACCGCGGTCCTCATAGTGCGTGTCGGGTGACGGTGCAGGAGTATTGTCTGGTTTTTAGTGGCCCTGTTCAGGGCGTAGGTAGGGCCCCTGTTCACATCAGCGAGCTCCAGGGCTGGCTGAAGAGGACAGGGAGGAATCCCATATACCTTCTTCTCGCTCCCCCAGTGGTTGAAGGAAGCGTAAGGCATTATCCAGACAAAAAAAAAGTGTGACGGCTTGTCCATTGTAGCGTAGGAAATTCACTGCTGTCCGTTAGTTATTTCATGTGCATGTGCGCTGTAAGCAAAACATGACAGCTAAAATTATGATCTATTTCAGTAATGATGTGTAACTGTGGAGCAGTGATGGAGAGAAAGGAAACATGTTGTGTACAATTCAAAATTATGTAACAGTATGTAATTAATGAGCAAAAAAGGTGCGTGTGATGGGATCGAACAAATGGAAATCCATAACGAAAACTTAGTAAACTTAACTTATAAGAAAGGGTCCTTTTAGCTTTTAATGCTTATTATTTCTTCTCCTCTTCTCTCCACCAGGCAAGCAATATATCGGACGCAATGGACGGCTACTACGGCTGCTTATGGGACGGCACCCTATTAGAAGTGGGGGTGGCTTTACACGCGCGTCGAGGCGAGGGCGGCAGACGAGCCCGAGCGGTGAAGGCCACTGGGGCTTTGGAACTAAACGCGAACAACAGCGAAGATATTCAGAGGGAAGCGGCGGCAATCAGGAGAGCAAGACTTCTCCGATCTTTGACTAACCAATACGTTGCGTAAAGAGATCAAACAATCTTTAAGAGGACCAGACTGGGCAGTGATTTTCAACAACTGAATAAGCTCTGTTAGTATTAGAGATAGGATCAGTGCGAGCGCGCAATCAAAACTGCTGGGGCTTAAAAACTAAATGCGAAGATATTGGGAAGCGGCGGCCATCAGAAAAGCTAGACTCCTCAGATCTTTGACTAACCAATACGTTAAGTATAGAGAGTAAGAGAACTTTAAGAAGACCAGACTGGGACAGTTATTTTCAATAACTGAATAAGCTCCGTGTGTATTACAGATAGGATAAGTGCACGCGCGCAATTACAGCCGCTGGGGCTTTCGAAATAAACGCGAAAATAAATAAGAGAAGCGGTGGCGTTCAGAAGAGTTAGAATGCTCAGATCTTTAACTAACCAATATCTTGCTTAAGGAGTTCAGCTATAAGGCAAAAAGCCTGGGACAGTGACGTTTATGTTTTTTAATAAGTGTTAAGAATGCGCGATAAATGTAGTGAATCGGTGATATTAGTAGTAAATAATGATAAAAACATTATGATCTCCTGTGTTTTTTTTAATAATATATATCATAATAATAAAATCCACTATAGTAAATGAATGATAATTTGTGCTAGGAAGGAAACTAAATTATCTGGATGTAGCTATTTATTTATGATGATGATGATGATGATTTATTTATCAGCAAAATTGTATTTCAAATTAAAAAGTTAGATAATAGACTGCTGATGTTTATATTTCCAACTAACTGAGTTTTATCTTGCGTGTAATAAGGTTCAGAATCTATTGACAAAATTTGGCACATTATGGTCGCAATAACACGCTTTCGAGTGCTTTGCTCCGTGGCGTAAAATATGTTCTGATAATACCAGCACAATTCGGTACATGAATCTGAGATCTGAGTACTATTTATAAGAGATATGGACACCACTCAAGCTTAAAGCACAGTTGCAGGCTATTCAATATTTATTGTATTGGTATCAGAACGAAACAAACAATTTTTTTCTTTATCCAGTTAATGTGGGCGGCGACTGTGAATGGGATTCACAGTCGCCGCTTGTTACGCCTGACCTCTGATTAAGCCCTAACCTACCTGTAATTATCGCCGTAACTTAAATAAACTCTGGTTACCGCCCTGGTAGGGTAGGGCAGGGCCAACTAGGAGACAGTGTAACAAGAGGAATATTTTTGTATTATACCCGGTCATTTAACGTTTGATGATTCATAAGATGGTAGCGTATGTGACTAATTACACCACGATAAGACAGCATTAGTTGAACACACAGACGCATTTCTTTATAAAGCTTAGTCATTGCGCACATAAAGGTTGGTGAGTGGCGAACATAGCTATAAAATAAAACAAGCTTTTCTTTTTAAAATACTGGCGAACAATAATTCGTTATGTTTATTTATTTACCAATAAAGCCCTTTTAAAATGTACTTATTATAATCATAAACTTATATAATAAATGACAAAAAGTTAATATAAAATGTTTTACCAACGATATAATTAATATTTTACTGAATATTGAGACTACACTCAACAGTACTTATTCAAAACGTGCATGTAAATATATGTAGGTATTTATGTTCCCTTCTTCATAAAATACAAGTAAATATAAAAATAATTGATTCGTTTTAAACAAACACCTATAATATAGCGATTGTAAAAAATAGATGTAAAGAAGTACTTTTTGAAATATCAGTAAATCTCTATTCTCTATATTATACTTAGGTACTGGTGTACTTAGTCCTAAGAGCATTATCATGATTGTGGGTTACCTACAAGGCGACGAGATGGCGCTGCCTTGCAGCTTAAGAAATACTAGAGAAAATTCGACACGGCCATTAGGGCAGCGGTAGTGCATTCGCACTAAGCGAAGGGTGAGGCTTTGAGTACAGTCTGCTGCCTGGTCCACGTGGATTTTTTTCTAGTAAATTTTTTCTTTAGAATTAAACTTCATGATCAAAGTCTATTCAAGAAACCACCGTTTTCAGCAGTAGCCCAAACACGAACATCTAGCGAGAAAGTATTTGTAACGTCATCGTCATATAAGTAGTTTCTATGGAAACTAGGCAGCACCCCTACCACACGTAGTAACAAACAGTAAACAAACTAGCTCCTTCCATAGAAACTGACGATGACGTTATTGGGGTACCTAAACCTAAATTTGACAACAATGTACATATACTTGTCATTCTTCTTTATACAAAATAAAAAAGTGAGACATTTTTTTTTAGTTTTAAGTAAAGAAAAGTCAGCCAGAATTGACACCATTCTTTGCATTATTAAAATCAAACATGTCAAATGATTCAAATAAAATATTATGAAAAAGTTACATATCGTCGGTGCGACTTCAAGACCTCCTATGTGTCATTTTTGTCGAAATACCTTTTTTATACGGGTTTATTTCATATTTTGGCGCTACATCGAAATCAAAAACTCTCGTGTGAATAAGTCTTTTCAATTTCTATTTATTTACTTTATTCAATATATCCTAAGTGCTTGCTCAAGTAAAGTTGGCATTTAAAATATCTTATGTGTTAAATGTTATTGGTCAAATTTTCAAAATAACTAACCAATAGAAGCACTAGAATGAGAGGGATGCATAGATCGCGTGATTATTTTCCGATTGTAGGTGTTACATGGGGGTAGTAATATAAAAATTACGTTAGCTTCGACGGGTTCTCGCTCTGTGGTTATAAAAGTCGATGTGCAAAGTGTATTGCTTGCTCCAAAGCTATTGGCAAGTGCCCTGTTCTATAAATTGAAGTTTATCTTAAAATGTATCAATTTACTGCTGGCACGAAGCAGACGGTAATGTAACTGCGAATGAATTTACATCTTGCTAAATAGACCATTGTCAAAATTTACTAACTACGATTGAGTGTATTATTATTTTTATGTTTGTAGAACAGAAACCGAATTTCGTCGACTGCCCTAAGTGTTTTGGCACAACGAAGGCAATTGAATATCGAACAACTCTATTTAGAGAAAGGGCATCAATGATCTGCTCCTTACTCCCGGTATCTTTGGGTATGCAGACGACAGCACAGCCTCGGAGAGATACCTGCCTGATGTGAAGTCTGATGCAGACGTCCGATCTTTAAGGGAGGCGATGGTGGAGGGAGTGATGCAACCCTGGAAGCTGTTTCCCTCTGGGGTGAAGCCAACTTGGTTGGATTCAATCCCTCTAAAACACAGGCCTGTCTTTTCTCGGCGAAACGAAGTCCATTCCATCTGACTCCGACTTTCCGAAACATCTCCGTGCCGGTTACAGACCATCTCGAGCTCTTAGGTCTCGACATCTCATTCAGCCTCAATTTCGGTCGCTACATCGAATCCATTGCTAAAACCGCTGCCAATAAACTTGGAATACTTTCTAAGGTCAGGCGGTATTTTACATCTGAGCAGCTCCTAAACCTTTACCGAGACCAAGTTCGCTCCTGCTTGGAGTACTGTTGTCACCGTTGGAATAGATCTGCTCGGTATCAGCTGGATGCACTGGACTCGGTGGAACACCGTGCGAAGAGACTCATAGGCGATGACGCTCTCGTTGAGGCTAATCTCCAGAGCCTTGACCACCGAAAACGTGTAGCTTGCCTCTCGGTTACATTTTGGAGAGTGTGCGGAGGTATTACACAATTTGATTCTCCCTTCCCCTTTCCACCACCGGACGACCAGGCGCGGCGAGGGCTTTCACCCTTATGTTGTCCAAGTTCCTCCCATTCGCACGAAGCGATTTACTTCAGCTTTCATTATGCGAACGGCTCCCTAGCCGTTCGCATAATGAAAGCTGTAAAATGACCTCGGTAAGGAGTTTCACTCCCTAGTGAAACTCCTTACCGAGGTCTGTTTTTCCGGACCAATATAATCTGGACATCTTCAAGGCCAGAGGGAACAGGCATCTTCTAGGCAGGCGTGTACCATCCTAAGCCTCATCATCGCTTTCCATCAGGCGATATTTTGGTCAAACGCCTATTAAACATAAAAAAGGGCACACCATGATGGAGGTGGACAGTGTTCACTCCACTATTGAGCAATACATAAAACCACTATTATATACTATTGTCATTGCAATGATAAATTAAAAAACAAATAACTTGTATAATTGAAAGTCATGAGTTTTGAATCTCAATCCCTTTTACATACCTACTTATATTCTCTAATGTGATACAAAACGCGCAACCAAAACCTCTTATGTGTCACATTGAATTGTTTTGTATTTTTTTTACTACAATTTCGTTTATTATTTGAAATGACAAGAGCAAAATAAAAATCATAAAACCCTCTTGTATTTTTTGTTATATTTAGTTTCCTTATATTTTTTTCAGTAGACAGTTTTTATTGAATATCTCGCATTGAAGAATTTTACACATGGGAGGTCTTAAAGTCGCAACGACGATATTATGTTTTACAATTTTATTAGATTATTTTATTAAGGAAGATAATATACCTACCTAATGACACATTACTATCACAATGATCTTTTTAAATGCATCTCACTGTTCTTAACTGATACCTTAAACTAAGTTTTAGTTTAAATACAAACTGTGACGTATAAAAATCTGAAATAACCAAAAATATGTAAATGCATCGCTTCTCATTAATGTAGTTGTTTATTTTCTATAGGTGCCAAGGTACCGCTGGCAGTTAGGACAATAGTGGTCGGAATTCTTAGCCGAGTCGGCAGCGTACGGAACGCAGCAGAGGCAACTGTAAGGAAGCAAGTTACAGTTAAATCAGACCACTGTTTTTTGATGTGAACATCTTTCCTCTCGCTTTCCTGCAATTTGTGGGAGTGATTACGTAAAATGGGACGAAAGTGTGTAACAGGAAGTCGCGAAAGCGCGCGTGATTTGATATGATTTTAGAACATAATGTTTAAATGCCTTATTCCTTTTGTAGTAGGTTTATTTCTTTTTTTACTTATATAAGGTGAGGTTTCAAATGTTTCACAGCATACGGGACTACAGTAAGCTCGCTCGTTTTTTTGTAAAAAGCATACCCCTCTGCTGGGGCACAGGCCTTCCCTATGGATCGGTCCATTATCGGCCATTCCTGGTATTATGTCGGGATTGAGGGTTATAATGAAAAAAAAGAAAAATTAAAAAAAGAAAGTCTCAATAATAATAAATGATGCTACTCGCATGACATGAAGCACAGTTTTTCGCAAATTACCTCTCAGTCTGCTGGTGCTAAGCTAAGGCCGCTTAAATCATCGAGCGAAAGAGATGGCTGATTCCTTGAGGATTAGCTCGCACGAAAATTCAAAAATACAGTAGCTAGGTATATCAAATATTCGGGATAGAAGTACTTATATGCCTACACCCAAAAAAATTAACTCAGTCAACTTTGTTTTAAGTGTATGTAAGTAGTTAATAGTTTTAGGTAAAATTTTAATGTAGAACCTACCTAAGTATTTACAAAATGAATATTTTTCTATTCTAAATCTTTTTCTACATGTAAAACTATAAGTAGTTACGAGTATTCTTAGTGCAGATTAAATAGTGAAAAAGGGATCATGCCCACGAGACGGTTTTAACACGGCCCGCTTTTTTTGCCGGCGCAGGCTTAGCTTGTTCAGGAACACGGTTTGTACGTTTCTACCGACCCCAAACCGTCGTTAGGCGCCGGCGTCGTTGCAAATGGCTTCATAGTGTCCCATACCAGGCTGAAGACCGGATGCAATCCCGGTTTGACGCCGGGCTTACCTCCGGTGAAAAAACGTCTCCTAGGTATGAGATCTAACCCTACTAAGGGATTGTAAAACGTAATTAAACTAATTTACTGAACAATTATGCTCGAAGTGCTTTACTTAAACCTTCACTTAACTACCGATTGTCAAATAGGCCCATCATTAATTGCGGTGCCAGAGTAAATAAAGATTAATTACCATATCATGCCCCATAGAGCGGCGGCGATGTGTGTACGCGCGGTGACTGTGTATTTCACAGCAGTCCTGATGGAGGCATGGCAGAACTGACACACCGTCACTGTGTTCTCTGGGCCCAACAATGCAGCCGTCTACGGTATAAACAAAACATGGTCATCAAGTCTGACAGGCACAATCATTATCATTATAATAGTCGAGGACTTGTCGTCGTGATTAGTTAGTACCTCCTATAGGCATCAATAAGAACCTTATTCGAAGTAGAATATAAATAAATGCCCAAGGATTTTCCATAAGAGGAGAATCACTTCAGTACTACCTACAATAGGTAGATACTACTGTCATTAGCGTTACTGAATTTAAATAAATAAATAAATATTTCCAACACTCACACCAATTAGCCTAGCCCCAAAGTAAGCACACTATAAGGCTTGTGTTATGGGATACTAGGGTAACGGATAGAATACATATACTTTACATATATAAGTATATTTATATAGAAATACATATTAAACATCCATGACTGGAGTACAAATGCTCGTGTTCACACAAACATCTGCCCCCACCGGGATTCGAACCCGGGACCTCTCGAGTCGGCGACGCCATAAAACCCGGCGTACAAACCACTCGGCCACGGAGGTCGTCAATTTGTCGGAATATTAACAACTTATTACCAGACAATCATTAGCATAGGTAAAAAATCTTAACTAATAATTACTTTATCATCATTTCAAGTTAACAAATACCTTAACATTGATAAAAGTCGTTGATTTTTAAATAATTAACTTAAGGCAGAAACATATTAACGTGTCGTGGCGTGTCGTGAGTTACGCACCCAGAAGCACATCGGTTTCATACATTTATTATGGCAGTGGCAGTTAGCCTAATGAGAAAATGATGATAAACATCGTAAGTTTAACTTATCTTACATACCTATTAATAATTTAAAATGAAATCAAGAAGAAACTTTAATAAGAGTGAACCACTCTTTAATTTAGATTAACACGAGGATTATGTTGAAGAGGTAATACCAGATTTTAACCTAGAACAGTTATCTTATAAGTTCGTAAATAAAACTTGAGCAAAATTTACACTTCTGAATGTCCCAAACATAACTTACCTATCTGTTATCTCAATAACAGCAATAAATTCTGTTCCATAATGTGGTAATACCTAATGTTTTAATCTTAGGGTAATACTCGATGTTATCCTGGAACTAAATTGTGAATTACTTTCTTAATGAGGTAATACGATTGATATTATCCTGAAAGTAAGTACCTACTTAAATATACCCTGATCTATAATAAGAATAGATCAATAAATCATGTTCGTTTAAATGAAACCACAAGAATGTCATTGTTGTCATAATTTAAGACAAACAACTATGCCCGGAGCCCATTGTGAGAATGGAAATAGATACCAGTGGAAAAAACGTACTAATATTTAAGAAATATTGATCTCGGCTTCTCATAAAAAAGCTGATAAAATTTCTTCAAGCAGTGGTCTAACAAAAGCTCACACAGTAGGGTAGGATGGGGTGCAGTGTTAAAAAAAATATACAATAATACAATGACAAAAATATTGTTTAAATCAGCTAGTTTTTGGTATGACAATAAACTTTAACAATCTTCCTTTAATTAAAATAGCTCAAACATTAACATTAGTAGGAACTACTAAATTTGAATTGCACTTTAATAAAATCAGTCGTTGTAACTCTGGGGTAGTCTGTTACAGGGTAAGGGGAACAATGTTACAATATAAAATAATAGGAAATTAACAAAATGAGAAAAAAGATTAACTTCTAATAAATATTAAACTTCTTCAAAATATCTTTTCGGAAAGTATAGACATCAGTCTGACGTTTGGTCTTTCTTTCTGCAAACTTTTTAATGTCATAAAATTTACGTACTTTTCATTTGCTACCTTTCAAAGACTAACATCTCTTTCACACCTTGAAACCCAGCGTATAAACCACTCTGCCTCGGAGGTCGTCAAAAGGGAAGATGCTATATTTTTATTTTCATTTTAAAGAATTCCATGTAGAATAAACCACAGATATATTAAAAAATTAAAACATTGCATTTTTTTGGAAAAAATGCGTTTTAAATTGACAGTTTAAATTTTCGCGTGAAAACGGACCTATGGTTCCGATGACGTCACTCCTGTCTGTCACTGGTCGTACTTGAGCGTCGCTGGCTTTCATACTTTTGCTTTCTCGACTTTCGAGATATTTTTTGTAAAAATTTAAAACAGACTATCCATCAACATCAGGTGATCATAACAATACCACTAATATTCCGAAAAAAAGCCGTGTTGACTCATGTTTTGTGCCAATGTCTCCATCTACTTCAACCAAGTTTCCAAATACTTAAATTGTTTTTGACTTTTGATTGAATTAATTTAATTGACCCAAAACTGAGAAAAAAGTGGTTTCAGAAATGACAATTGTTCTCCAAAGACCATTATTCGATGCTGTGAAGATCACTTTAACGTAAGTCGGCGAATATACTTGTTATATGCTTAATTAACCTGCTTGTATTTATACGTAAACACGCGTTAGTATACCTATACCTACCTAATACTTACAAAACCTGTCTATAACTTATTTTTAATTTTACAGTTGGAGAATGACGTCAAAAATTGGATAAAATTTAAAATGTGTGGCACAATCTTCACATTGGCAGGACTAAACCAAGCTTTGCGTTTCATTTAAAATAACGGTAACACGATAACGTTCTTTATCCCATCTTTACGTACTTTATGAATAGTAAATGTAACTCAACTTTTTACTGTACATAATTCTCCATTTCTTTTGATTTGGACATAGCCGATTGCGTTATCGCCGTAAGATTCTCTTGTTGCGTTGAAATAACTGCTATGTGTAGAAGCCGCTGAATAAAATACAAAGTTTAACAACTATGATTTATACGTACAGTAGTAATTTAGTCCCTTTCAATTCTACACTTGAAAACTATGCACTTTGGACAAAAAAGTTACAACCATGTCAACATTAACTTGGTAAATTCCTGGAGTCTGCTTTGATAAACCCAACTTCCATTTTTATTAAGAAACGCAATTAATATTCCCATAAAATAATATTCATTTTTACAACCATAACCTTAAATAAGTTATCGTAACAGGAGTGACGTCACTAAACGCTGATTGGTGTTTTAAAATACGTTTTTTCAAGTCATTATTAATTCATTATGTATTTCCTTATTGTCATTTATTACTTGTCTTGTACAAGTATTTTATTTCTAAGTACCAGTTACGGTACTTACATTAATCCTATCTACTTTCTTATAGGTAGAAGTAGGTATTTGCATTTCAAAAATAATAGTAATAATAATTGTGTCTGCTTGCAGAAATCATGTAAACGGTAAAGCAGTTAAACATTGATTGTTATCTATAAATTACGTGTCCCATTTTTCGTTAACCAGGCTCTTAACATCTACAAGGTTAATTAAATATCGAGGACATTGAACTGAAGTATACTTAGTGGTTAAAGGAACTTACCTGAAAGTAAAGTTCAACCCATATTATACGAAGTTCAATGTCCGAAGACATTGAATACCCTACCCACCCATATTGTAACATCAGCCTCAATAATCCCATAAATATAAAATGGGTCATTGGTACAGTCACCAGTAAATAATGTAATACTTATTTTTTTTAACGCAATCAATACATCAAACGTTAGACGTACATAACTCAAAATGGCAAAGAAAAATTACTGACGAATGGGGCATCATAGTGCTCTGTTGACAGTACTTAAACTCTAAAATTAATAACTTGACAGATGATACAGAGATATTTTTTTTTTTAATATTCTCTCCTAAACGTGTGATATGGCATGGCTCTCTACAAGGTTACTTAAATGTCGAGGACATTGAACTTCGTACAATTGTGGTTCAATTTCTCATTCAGGTAAGTTCCTTTAACCACTAATTATTTTAAAATCAACGGCTTTTATTAATTTGAATTTATTTTTTTAACTTGAAATGATGACATAGTTATTGTTAGTTTACGATTTTGTACCCACGACACGACACGTAAATTTGTCTTTAACCATTATAAATGTATGAATCCGTACCCCTAGCACGAACCAATATCGAAATCGTATCGTTTGCGAGTTCGAAATGTCATTGTCAAATGTGTATTGAAGTTTAGTCACGGTAATATTATCTATACAGTATTGTGACTCCGCCCACCTTGTAATAAATGCCTACAGCCGAGCGCTGCGTTAGCGTTAGCACGCAGTAAGGCCGCCCGCCTACAGTATTTTATGTAGTTTTGTTTTTAACGCGAGTGTAGGTAGATTACTCGTTTGTCTCTTTTTTCATCCTAACCACTTATTTATATATTATTCCAGATATTTTGCCCGATGGAAAAATCGAAATACCTAAATATTAGAAACAAATTACGTACTAGTAGATAGGTATATAAAAAATATGCTATAAAGGTAAGACACCTTTCCAATATTTCAGGTAATTTAAAAAATGATATCTCTGGGTGTGTTATTGAAGAGTTCAAACAACCAAAAACAGCAATTGTGCTGTTGTACGATATTGACCGTCGTTTGTTCTCTTCCATACTAAATTATGTAGGTATCTACTTAATTCAATCAAATATTTGCAATACAAAACGCACGTTTAAGCAGGGCTAACTGCATAAAAAACAATTCACACCGTTCAGTCGTCGTTGTGGCGCGGCGGCGCATTCGCGACTGGGTGCCCGCCGAGAGTGCCTCGAAGGCTCGAACTCGAGTGGCGTAGGTATGACTCGCTTTCCGACCGTTTGTATGAAGATAGAATACTGTATGATATTATTACCGTGGTTTAGTTCTCGTTACGTACTTTGTGCCGCTGTTGTTCAAGTTCCATACAAAATTTGACATTGACATTTCGGTTTGCAAACTATTCGAATTCGATAATGGTTCGTGCTAGGGGTAGATGTGCTTCTGGCGCGTCAGGACATGTTTGAAATAATAATGTTAATAATTCATGTAATTTTATAATAATTTATTGTTAGTTTGACAGGACGACTACACTATTGAATTAGGTATATATATACCTGTTATAATGGTGTAATGTGTTTAGAATAAATAAATAAAAATAAATAAATAAATGTTAATATGTTCCTGCTTCCTCATTTTCCTGTAGGTACTTTTGAAAAAATATTATAGTAAATAATACTACTCACTTGGTTTGGAAATGTTGCAAACGTTGGCGGCCCTTGTGCGTTGTTCTCATTACGTTCAAACTACGAAAATAAAGTTAAATGATTAAAGACCGGATTGTGAGATATATTATGCAACATAAAAACCGCAGAATATGCATGCAAAATGCAAGAAATATAGTTAAAATATGCACTAAAATCCATATAAAAGATAAAATGTTGGCGATCCCGCATAAAATATAAAACAAAATAAATAAAAACTGTTATTAGTATATAATGTTATAGTGATTTAACTTCACTACTTAGTAACTTATCTTACTTTGCTGTTTAAATTGATGAGTTCTATGCGCCGACAACGGCCGGCCATAAAAAAAAAAAAAAGAAAGGAAGGGCTGTCAGATGATCGTGAGAGAATGGGATAGCATTGTTTTGATAAAAAGAAAATAATACGCAATTGTTTTATAAATCCTAAAATAAAAGAGAAGTTATTATTGTACCGACAAGCGTTTGTAACAGTAATAAATAATTAATAACATCTACAGTTGTATTCACTATATTGACCCGTCAGAGAAGTTTAATATCCGAAGTGGTAAGAACGTTGGAAAACGCCCATTGGTATGTAAAACATTAATTAAAACTTTCGAATTATTTAGTGATCTTTTGATTATGTTTAAATACATTTTCAAATCAATCTAAAAGGTAAGAAGCATGTGTTAAATCCGATATATCCGGATATAGCCTTAATAAATATATACCTGGCTTACTACAAAATGTTCACAAGTTGACAAAAGAATTTGTTATACTTAATTTATACCTTAAAAAGTGTTTTCGGTTAAACAATACTTGCTTGCAGTACCTACCTGCCTAAATATTGTCAATATTAACTATGACAGAAAGTTATCCAGACCAAGTATTATACTTATAAATAGAATCTAAGTATTGCAAATCATTTTAAAGTTATTTGGTAATATTCATTTTCATTCTTTCATACATAGAGCTATTTGATAACTAATAGTTTTACAAATAACAACAAGGGTTACGTGTCAAGGTTCGGTATGAGTACACAAATCTCATAAAAAAAAAGGGAATATACTACTGCTTCACTAAAGCTATTTACAGAAGTAGTTTGTTGTGGTTGAATTGTTTTTCAAAAGTTATTTTTCTACTACAGTTTTTTTCTTTTTTTTGAATTAAGTATACAACGGTTTACTTTTGTAGAATTTGTTGTGTAATGAGATTCTACTAAAAGTAAAAGGCATCACTTACAAAATAGGGCCTGATGACATATCCAATGTGATGCCTGGTACTATAATTACTCGGCACTTAAAAATTTTGAAACAGTTTAGGTACTGCTTAAACCAATCTGATGATGATTCAACACTAATTAATATACATATAACATGAAAATTTGTTGTCTTGTCATAAATAGAGGAGAAATAAATAAGAAAAAAAACAATTTCTGTACTTGTTGTCTTTTACAATAACCTTGGTTTTAGTAGACAGATCACAGACCTAGATATAGGTAGATGCTGCATGTACTTCAAATTGTAGGGAAATTGAGCATGTCAGATTTTGTGTGGAGACCACTTGTCTCCCTTTTGGCAAGTGGTATATACACTTGCGTTGTCTATTTTGATCTATGTGATCCAGATTCAACGACATAACAACATTGAAATAACTTGAATTAAAATATTACTCTGCTCACATTTTCAAAATTAAAAATGTTGTTGCGGTAATACAATGAAAATATGTATATATATGCATTTTGAAATATTATATACCCATAAGATTTTATGCAGAAGACTTTCATAATAAGGATAAATTATTGTAAAAAGAGATAAAAACCATGGACAACATTATATTAACAAAATTATTATCTCTATGTTTTTTTTCTCCTCAACATTTATTATTATTCATCTTATTATTTTTCACCCAGAGTACTTATAATTAATTAAAATAAAATAAAAGTTTGTCATTTAATGGGGTTGTCTTTTCTGACTAAACAGATTGGTGCTTTACTTTAATGATATCTATGTTTGTTTTCATGTGCTAATTGATATTATTGCTATGACTAAAATTTTAATAAAATAGTTTTCTTTTCACAATTCTCTTCCTTAAAATCTACCACCACAAATATCTCACCTACGCTTCCACTATTTATTATATTATTTTTTATTTATTAAAGAAACTTGAGTCATGTCGGACAGATCATTTACGCCGCCATTGAGCGATATCACTAAAATTACTAACAATAGAGTAGCCAAAAATCAGATGCGCCGAGGAGACCGAAAAAGAACATACAACGCATCAAGTTCAGATCTGTCGACAACTACTGATAATAGTTTAAGTGAACCTAAAACTAAAAAAAAGGAATCTCGAAAACGATCACGAAATGACGTTAATAGACGAACGAAGCCAAGGAAATCTGCAACTTCGTGTACTGAGAAGAAGATGGCGTCATCTTCCTCGATGTCCACGATTTCCGTCACGTCAATGTCCGATATAACAACTACTGATAGTAGTTCTACTAATAGCAGTTCTACTGACTCTGGACCTAGAAAAAGACAATGTCGGAAACAATCACGAAAAGACAATAGTAAACGAAAGAGGTCGAGGAGATCTTCTGCAACTCCACATAATAAAAAGACGCGAACGAAATCTTCCCAAAACAAGAATGAAGATATTCTCGTAAAATTTGCTAGATTAATAAATAACCAAGGTGGACGGTTCGAGGGTGCTCAGAATGTAATCCCTGAGTTTGATCCTGATGCAAACACACAAACAGCAGCCGACTGGATCCGTAAAGTAAACGATACGGCTGCCATATATGGATGGAGCGAGAAGCAAGTAATCTACCATGCTATCCCCAAGTTAGGCGGTTACGCGAGGAAATGGTATCAAGGTCGAAGTTCAGTAAATCTGACTTGGCGTCAATGGCAGCGTCATATATTAAGAACCTTTCCCGATGACCGTAATTACGCTGATCGTTTGTATGAAATGCTTGGCAGACGAAGCAAAAGAGAAGAATCGTTGGAGGAATACTTCCATGACAAAATCCGACTTGTGAAGATGTGTGGAATTGTCGGAAGGAATGCTGTTGACTGTGTCATCAATGGAATTTATGACAGTAATATTAGATTGAATGTGCAAGGATTATCTATCAGAAGGCCGTCACAGCTACTTACATATCTTCGACGAATATCAAAAAAGAACGTAACAAAAGGACCTTTGGAAGTGACTCGAACCAATCACGACTCTAAAGAATTTAATGTGAACCGTATGAACAGTGTAACAAAGCATACTACAGTAAACAATAGATATAAAAATATTCGTTGCTACAACTGTTCAGAATTTGGACATGCCGTAAACACTTGCCCGAAACCGATAATCCGGTGCAATTTTTGCAATCGTCTAGGGCATGAAGCCCAAAAGTGTCGACGATCCAATAACTCAAAAGTAAATCATCTAGAACATGAAAACCCTCAATTTACCGAAAATGTTAAGTTAGATAGCAAACGTGTTATGCAAATAACACAGGACCAGACAGTTAACAGTAAGTATTATAAACAAATAAAATTGAACGGAATATTGCGATCGGGCTATATAGATTTTGGTAGTCAGTGTACACTTATCAAGTTTAAGGTTGCTAAAGAATCTAATTTAGGTTTAGATAAGTGTGGTCTCCCAGTTATTAGGGGATTTGGAATGGGAAGTGTCGTGCCTCTTGGACGCGTAATAGTAGCAATAGAAGTGGATGCAGTTAAGGCGGATATCGACGCATACGTTGTCGAAGATGATCTATTAAATACGGACGTTCTTATAGGACAATCACTAACAGAATTGCCATCGGTTACGGCCTACAAATCGAGTTCCGAGTTAATTTTATATTGTGATGATACTAAGCTAAGCAGAGTGGAAGTGCTGAATTCTTTCAATACTACCGTAGAGGGCTTAAAGAATGTTACTGTTCACGTTGCGGATACGCAATATTCAGGGTACCTGTATATACGTGGTTATGCCTGCTTAAAGATCGACAGCGAATATTGCATATTGCAAGGGGCATATGAATTTACTAATGGTCAAGGACGCGTCATTTTAGTAAGTTTATCGGGCAAACCAGTACATCTGCTGGAAAACAAAATTCTCGCACGTGCTATTGTATTACCTCGTACTGAACAACTACAATCAAGGGGTTTGGAAAGCTTTGTAAACCAAGTATCCATAGATGAACCATCAGAAGTACCTGAAATCACGAAGCCTCCAATTACAGCGGATATGTTAAACATTGGACCGAGAGTTACTAAAGAAAATCAAGAGGAACTACTCAAATTGCTCAATCGTTATCGAAATTGTTTTGCCTTCAATTTGCAAGAACTAGGTGTGACCCAAGTCGCAGAAATGTCAATTCGCCTAAATGATGACACTCCAGTTATCTACAAACCATATAGACTCCCATTTAGTGAGCGTGCTGTTGTAAGGGAAATGGTGGGGGAACTACTTGCTAATAATATTATCAAGGAATCTCATTCTGCGTACGCCAGCCCTATAGTCCTAGTCCGAAAGAAGAACAACGAATACAGGCTTTGCGTCGACTATAGGGCACTAAACAAGAAAACGATTAAGGATAGTTATCCAATGCCGGTTATTGACGACCAATTGGATCGCCTTTCCGGGAAGAGTCTCTTTACCAGCTTAGACTTGGCATCGGGCTATTACCAAATACCAGTCGAGGAATCCTCGCGACATCTCACCGCATTCATAACGCCAGATGGGCATTATGAGTATACTAGGATGCCGTTTGGCCTTGTGAATGCACCTGCGGTATTCCAAAATATGATAAATAAAGCCCTTGGTACAAGAAGATTTGATCTAGCAATCCCATATTTAGATGATTTGCTCTGTACAAGCAGTTCTATGGAAGAAGCATTCAGAAAACTAGAAGAAATCCTTAACTTACTCTCTAGGGCAAACCTAACATTAAACCTAAGGAAATGTTTTTTCTTTCAGTCAGAATTAGAGTACTTGGGCTATGAGGTTTCGGAATCAGGCCTTCGGTCGGGTACGAGAAAAATAAAAGCAGTGTCTGAATTCCCAGTGCCAACCAATGTGCACCAAGTTCGTCAGTTTGTGGGCTTAGCAAGTTTCTTTCGCCGTTTTGTTCAAAACTTTGCTACATTAGCTAAGCCCTTGACTACATTGACAAAGGCCGATGCACCTTGGCGTTGGGGACCAGAACAAGAAAATGCTTTTCTAGATATTAAATCGAAACTTACAAGTCGACCTATATTAGCACTATTCAATCCTGATTATGTCACTGAAGTACATTGTGATGCTAGCAAAGTTGGAGTGGGCGGTATTTTATTACAAAAAAAAGATGAAAATAGCCATTTTCGCCCAGTAGCATATTTTAGTCGACAAACAACACACGAAGAATCTTTCTGGCATTCATATGAGTTGGAAACTATGGCTGTAGTATTTTCTCTAAAGAAATTTCGCGTGTATCTTTTAGGCTTGGAATTTAAAGTAATGACAGACTGTGTAGCATTGCGCACAACTCTTACCAAGAGAGATTTATTGCCTAAAGTTGCAAGATGGTGGCTCATGCTGCAAGAATACAACTTTACTATTGAATATAGACCCGGACAAAACATGCAGCACGTGGATGCTCTAAGTCGCAATCCTTTGTCGTTAGAGGGAGATGAACAAACGGAGATAGAAATAATGCATATCACTACACACGATTGGCTTCACACCGTACAAATGACCGATCCACGGTTAAAACATATCAAAGCAATATTAAATACTAGTGATGAAGACTTTAAGGACTACAAAAATAATTATGTACTGCGTGATGATAGGCTGTACAGACAGATTGGACGAAAGCAAAAATGGGTGGTTCCCCACGGTGCACGTTGGCGGATATGTCAAATGAACCACGACGATGTGGGCCACTTCTCGTTGGAGAAAACATTAGAAAAAATAAACGCTGATTACTGGTTCCCCAAAATGAAACGCTTTGTCAAAAAGTATGTTGCGTCCTGTATAAATTGCGCCTACAACAAAGAGATGTGTGGAAGAAAGACTGGGTATTTACATCCTATCCCAAAAACTCCAACAATCTTTCACACTCTTCATATAGACCACCTGGGCCCCTTTATCAAGAGTAAAAGGGGTAACACATATATTTTAGGTGTAATTGACGGATTTAGCAAATTTATTTTTGTAAAGGCCGTACGAAATACAAAATCGAAAACCACTATAAATACTCTTGAAGGTATATTTTGTAATTTTGGATGCCCTCAGGTTATAATCTCTGACCAAGGTACCGGGTTCACCTCAAGTGAGTTCAAGGGGTTTCTAGAATCTCGCGGAATTAAACACGTACTAAACGCAGTTGCCACACCTCGGGCAAACGGACAGATTGAGCGATACAATCGAACGATCTTGAACTCACTAGCAGCGATGAACCACAACCTCGACGAAAAAGATTGGGACTCAAATGTTCAAAAACTTCAATGGAGTTTGAATAATACCCTCAACAAAGGAATCGGCAAAACACCAGCAGAAGTAGTATTTGGGAAAAGAACTGTCGGACAGACAGAAAATATTCTAAGGGCTGCACTAGATCCTGAAGAAACCAATCGCGAAGAAATCAGAAATACTGTAGAAAAGAATATAATAGAAGCACAGAAGAAGATGAAGGAGACGTTTGATAATAAGCGTGGCCCCACAAAGATATTTCAGGAGGATGATCTTGTAATGATTCCGAATAATAACCCAGAAAAAGGCAAGAGTAAGAAACTCGCCCCTAAATTTCGAGGCCCATTTAAAATAACTGCCGTTCTGGATCGAGATAGATATGAAGTCATGAATATCAAAGGTCATTCTCAAAAGAAATACAAAAATATATTTCCAGCTGATCATTTAAAGCCATGGATTACATTTCATGCGACTCCACCTTTAAGTGAGATGAGCGACTCTAGTTGTGATGACGAAAATTAACCTGATAATTAATTGATAAAACAGGCTAGAATATCTATATTCTGACTAGTTTATAATTTATTTATGTTATTATTCCTTTAAATGTATGTATAAATACCTGTTTCCCAACACCAAGTATCCCCACAGTTACAGCTTAGGTATGCATGTGAATGAAGCGGAAGTGACGATAGTATTTACCCGTTAATTATTGGGGCATGCACTAATGCTAGCAGACTAACAATATACTGGAAATGGATGAAAAGAGATTTATTCCATGTTAATTTTACAGCAGATCATGTCCAAGGGATGGCAAATGGTAATTGATTTTATTATGTAAAACTATAAGTTTTAAATATAATGTAATAACATTGTAATAACATAATTTCTAATAAGAAATTAGCTGTATAGCAGGCCGTGTCCCGAGGGTGGCAAACGGTAGTTGAATGGGATTATTTTTACTCTTAGTAAAGCAGACCGTGTCCCGAGGGTGGCAAACGGTAGATGACCCTGATTTCTTACCATTGCAGGCTGTGTTCTGAGGGAGGCAGAAAATGGCAAACGATAATTGACTATGACTTACTAAAGCAGGCCGTGTCCCGAGGGTGGCAAGCGGTAGCTGACTATGAACTTTACTATTGTAGGCCGTGTCCCGTGGGTGGCAAACGGTATTCGACTATGATTTCTTACTAAAGCAGGCCGTGTTCCGAGGGTGACAAACGGTAGCAGACTATACATTCATAATATAGCAGGCCGTATCCAGATTGTGGCTAACGGTAGCAGACTATGACTTAGACCATATAGCAAAGAGTTATATATTTCTGATATGGTATTAATAATATAAACCAAACTACAGGTTGTATCCCGAGGATGGCCAGCGGAGGAAGGCAGTCAACGGACGCCATCACTACGTAGGCTCTAAGCAGAGTAGCAGTGTCAACGACAACTAGAGTAAATCAAATTCCCGCAAGTCGATGGCGCTATGTGCAATATAATTATTAATCATAAACATAGAAATTACGATTGATAAATACTAGAAGAAGTTATTGTTAATATTTTTATTGTGAACCAATTAAGATCAGTGTCATGTCTTTGTTATCTTACAAGAAAATTAATGATTATTATGAAAACTATCTATTGATCTGATTAAAAGATATTGTTCAAAATTATTTAAAACGTTCAGATTTGTAACTAGTTTGGCATTAGGCTCGGGTATAGAGACATACCCTTTTGCAGGAAGGCCGAGAGGTCTACAAAATTCTATATTTTTTTGTTTAGTTTTGTGTTTTGATACAATTCTATTGAGTATCTACTACAGAATTCTTATTTTTTTTTCTGCGGTAATCCTTTACTATTGTACGTAACATTTACATACAAATATTGATTAAAATTATTAATATGTATAATAATATTAAGACATTATAATTTTAAGACAGGAATAGGGACATTCCTGAAGCAGGATGGCCGACTGTTGGCGATCCCGCATAAAATATAAAACAAAATAAATAAAAACTGTTATTAGTATATAATGTTATAGTGATTTAACTTCACTACTTAGTAACTTATCTTACTTTGCTGTTTAAATTGATGAGTTCTATGCGCCGACAACGGCCGGCCATAAAAAAAAAAAAAAGAAGGAAGGGCTGTCAGATGATCGTGAGAGAATGGGATAGCATTGTTTTGATAAAAAGAAAATAATACGCAATTGTTTTATAAATCCTAAAATAAAAGAGAAGTTATTATTGTACCGACAAGCGTTTGTAACAGTAATAAATAATTAATAACATCTACAGTTGTATTCACTATATTGACCCGTCAGAGAAGTTTAATAAAAAGTATGCAACATGATCATGAAATACTAATAAAAAGTCATTTTTTGCATTGTATTTATATCAAAAAGGCATAATTCCTTTTTGATACTCGATAATAACATTCGTAGGTGCCACCTACTCATTTGCAAAAAATATCAATCACAGAATATAGGTAGACAGCATTGAAATACCACAACCGTAAAAGTATAGGTACGAATAATTTCTACTATATAATATGTTCTGTAGATAAAGCTGGCAGGACTAGTCCAGTATGCCAGCCCCCAGCCCACACCGAGTGCGTACCACCATAGACATAGTATACAGGCATAGGACCCGAGCATAGTTCGGCCGACCGATAGCAGATTAGGTGTGTATCAGAGCAGAGAGGCCTATGGAACGCAACACCGGGATTCCGTATATATTTTGCGGGACTAATTTCGTTTTTAAATTTTGAGGGATCCCGCTGGACGGGCAAGATTTCAAAGAATAGCGTGATAATATACTCTTCTCACAGCGCACAAAAGTTTAAATCTACCCAGCTGGATCCCACAGATACCGGGATTGATATTATCTTGCGGGATTGTATTCCCTTTAAGACAGTTACGTGTTTAATGATCGGATGTTTCTTGTGTCTCTTGTCTGTGTTCTGTAGTATTATTCTGTAAGAACAAACTTACTTTTCATCGCGGAATCTGTAGTGTAATTTGAAATTAGAATGTTTGAAATTCGTATTCTAATTTCAAAAACAAATAAACCGGCCAAGTGCGAGTCGGACTCGCGCACCGAGGGTTCCGTACAAACTTAATTTAATACCTCTACGCGTTCATGAGAAAAGAGGTTGTAACTTCAAAATTTTCAAAAATATTTTTTATTTTATGATGTAACTAAAAATGTTCGGTGTTCGCAATTTTTTCTTTATCTGTATTATAAGAACTTACTTCACGGGAAGTACCCTGTAGGTTATGATTCCTATGCGAGTTTAAAAAATTTGAAATTTTTTTTTGAGCGCAACACTATATTGTGCAATGAATGCACAATATAGTGTTGCGCTCAAAAAAAAGATTTTAAACTGTGGGTAAAACTTTCTTTAATTCTTCTTACCTTTGCAGTGGGCATGGGATACATAGGCGGATTACTGCTATCCATTTCGATTCTGTAACCAAACAACTTTATTTAGGCCTTAGAATAAAACAAATTCATTAATAAATAATAAACTTTCGAAACTTATGTACCATAGCATAAAAAGTAAAAATACGAGACAAACAGACGAAGAGTTGGGTAGGTTCCATCTCGCTCGTACTATAATGGTCGTTCACTTGATCTATGAAAGCTTCCATGACATTTTCTTCTTCATTTTCTTTAAAAAAGAAGAAACCTTACTAAATAAAGAAGAAAAAGAAACTTCTGAATGCGCAACAATGCGTGAAGAATAGGATAAATTACTACTATTTTGAACTGTTAAAGGCTCAAGAGTCAGGACTTTAAATATGTGTGCGAATAAAGTGTTTTGAAGAAATTTTAAATAAGTGCTAATAATTTTCATTTCAGTTATTAAATTAACATTTTTAAAATTCCCCTAGGTAACGTTTCTTTAAATTATTGATTCGTACATCAATGTAGAATTGATAATTGGAATTTAATAAAAATAAATTTTAAAACTTGTTTTCAATATTCCTTAAGTTATTTTCACAAAAGAAGTAAACACCTATTTTAAAAGGTGTTTATGGGTGTTTATTGGGTTTTTATTAAAGAACCGGGTTTAAACCCGGTGCAAGATTGGTCTTGCCGCTTACAAAACACAATAACATAATAAATATTAGTCCCAAGAGCCCTTTTACAAAATTGCGCCGCTGTAGTACTGATCGGGGCGTAAGTAGATTTGCAATTTGAAATACGAGGTAAACCTGCATTATTTTTTGGGAAAACTCACGGAGGTTAGATGTTTTTTTGATAATTAATGAGAGGGAAAATCAAAATTCTAATACATTAGTTACAACAAAAACATATTTCTGATGTCGTAGTAATTAATTTAATCTTATTTATTGAACATTATTGAAAGATTGAGGCATTTGAAGTTGTGCATATTATCGTCTTTTCCGTAAACTACCTGCAGTAGAACGCTCAGTACAAAAAAAGGAAAACAGTATTTGTAAATATTCTACATTAACTTACAATAGGAAGAATAAATCTACTGTTAACTTCTATTGGAAATAGTCAAAATCTTTTTTAACGGGGTAAACGAGGCGCTCAAAAATTACCCGCCCGCCCGGCAAGTATCACGATATTTTGCGAAAAATGTGAAAGGGCTCTTAAATATCATAGAAATATCCGGTCTGTAAGTATGTATTTGTTGCTTTCTTTTTTTATTTATTTATTTCTCCTCCTCCAGTTTTTTGCTTTCTACATTTAAAGTGCCTGGCTACAGCATTACTGACAAAATTTGTCTGGCAGTATTAATTTCTAATTGTTTACAATATTTTATCTACAACATGCGTAAGAATCAGTCCTCAGACTGTAAGTTAAGTGAGTAAAATTTTAAGGTGCCTGTGCCACCTGATACCTGAAAATTGCCCCACAGCACAAGTTAGCGAGTATGTACATACGTTCATTGTAAACACCAATACTATTCGATTGGACGACATATGGATATGTTGTCCATGAGAAAATAAGTAAGATCTGGCAGTCTTGGGATCTTACTCTACAATTAGCAACAAACGTCGGAAACTAAGGGTTTTTCCATTTTTCTCGAAAACGGTAAGTTTTATCGTGAAAATAGGTCACACACAAGGTGTAGATCATACAATTCTCTACAAATATGGTCCTGTCATTTTTTCTCTCACGACTCACCATTCGTGAGATATCGCTGTTTTATTAATAAATGTATGCTACATAACAAAATAAATCATAAGACAAAATGGTTTGTGACTCAGCTCAGGTTCCTTTGGGATTCCCATAACACAAAAATTAACGGGGACAAAGTCGCACACTAATTTTGCTTGTCACAATTGGTCACACTTGTGAGTTTAAATTCCAATTTCATACTTCCACGTGTTCCCGAGATAAAGGGTCTTGACAGACAAATGGACAACAAAGCGATCTTGTAAGGGTTCCGGTTTTTCCTTTTGAGGTACGGACCCTAAAATTTGTTCAAAGTATTGAATTTTGAAATGTGACGTCACGAAGCTTAAGAGCCCTCCCACCCCTTGTCAAACAAAGTCGCACTTCATCAACCCACTCCCTCCCACTTAACGTGTGACGTACTTTGTGGATGTCCTAGTAGGCAATAGTAATTTATGCGACTGTCATATTATAAGAATAAAACACGAGAGTCTGTTTATGCGATAATAGGTTGATTCGAGTGTTTTAATCAACGATATTAAATACCCTAGATACACTAGGGGGCATCCGTAAATTACGTGAGATGTTTAAAGGAGGGAGGGGGCCCCGGCAAGTATCACGCAATTTTTTTCAGATTGAAACAAAAAAAAAACTATTTTGGTCCATTTAATCCAGATTCATCTTAAGCGTAATCGTAATACGATTAAGATCATTCACTAATTCGATCGAAAGAAAATAATTTCATTCATTACATACGACGTTATACATCTACTGACTGTCAAACGACCATATTGTTAAATTTTTATTACACCTATAACTCTCATCAATATTGATTAGTAATCTTAAGTAGTCGTAAATAAAAGCACGTAGCATTTTTTTTTTACTATAACAATCCAAGTAATTCAACGCGTTTACGTAAGAAACCCACATTTTGAAAAATCTCACGTGAGATTGGGGGATGGGGGATTGGGGAGGGTGTTGAATAAAATCTCACGACAACTCACCAGGGGAGGAGGGAGGGACAAAAATTCAAAAAAAACGCCTTACGTAATTCATGGACGCCCGCCTACGTGTGCTCAAAATGTGTACCTATTACGAAGTGCTTCAATACGACTCAAGCACTTCTTGGTTCCAGTTACGCGCGGACCGTTGAAAAGTGAAAAATTGCGAAATAAATACTTATAATTTGTAAAATGACGTTTTTTCGACAGGTATCTAATCAATGTTTGTTAATTTAACGCATTGAAAGCAAATTTTGTTTTAATACTTACTCTAAACTGATTTAATAGAAAATATTTGTGATATTCAAATACATGGTTGCTAATATATCCGTCTCTTTTCCTCGTGGTCCGTACCTGCTATACCGCTAATATATTGCTAACAGCGCATTCAGAATTGCGCGTAGAGTCAAAGAAATAAGGTCTATATTCTTCCGCATACAGCAATAAGTCGTAGCTTGCGTTTCGAACTGTCATAACATGCGTTTTAATAAGACCTTATACAGTATGCATTAAAGGTGACTTACAATGTTTGAATAATGTCTTTTAATGTTAAACTACGCGATCATCTTACGGAGCTCCGTGGATGTACCTTTTGGACAGGTTTCGGGCATGATTTTGTTCGTCTTGGTGTACCTAGGGTACCTATTACATATCGTTGGTTTTAATACCTAAACTATATGCAGTTGAATACACTACTTTACCATCACTCATAGAAACAATTTGAAATTAAGCAAAGTACCTAGCTAGGTAACAAAAAAGTATTTTGTAAAACTTTTCTGAGATCCCGAAAACAAAACATCGATCGGCAGAAGATTTTCTGGGAAGCGCGGAAAATTAAGTTGAAACTACGAATGTGTGCGCCTCTTTTTCACATTGAGGCTAATATCACATCATGGCCTAATACATATATTAAATTGAAATTTAAAAGTGTACTATAATAATTAAAAAGTTATTTTAGGATACAGCTAGCAGTACTGTACCTAATGAGTTTAATTTTTAATTTTATCTTTTTTTTTTGTTAAGTTCTCCCTTTTCAGGGAAGGCAAGGGAACAATGCCCATACAGCCTAAACTTAAGTTAAATTATTCTGTTTTTCTTTTTACATTAGAATTTCGGTGTGACGCATAATTCTAATGTTTCTTGAAGTGTTTGGCACGAAATGTATCGAGCTGGCTTTTTCGATAAGCTTCTGTGAGGTAGTCAATACTACAATAAAATTCTCACGTCCACTTGACCGGAATAGCGTATATTTTGAAATTCTTCAGTTACGCAGACAGTTGTAACACAAAATCACACCAATTTTATTTCACAATATCCGCTATGAACGAATTTAAGAATAATTAAAATAAGATGCTAACCACACTCGATCAAATCCCGCCAAAAACTCCTTTTATCTTTTTATTTACAACATAAACGCTACGTGCGTTTATAAAGTACATCTTTAAAAAACAATCTTTAAATTTGTAATTCGAGTATTTCGACATGGAGGTAGATAAAAATATTTATTACACTCACACCAATTAGCCTAGCCCGTAAAGTAAGAACTATAAAGATTGTGTTTTATAGGGATACTAGGTTAATAGATAGATCTATTTAATACATAGGTTTAATGATACATAGCTATGATACTTATTTACCCTAATACTTAGTCTGGCCATAAATGCTGTTTGAAATTAAAAAAAAACAACATAGGTAATATTGACTTACGTTTGGAAGGTTTTTGGCGGGATTTCATCGAGTGCGGTTGGCGTCTTATTTTAATTATTCTAAAAATTCGTTCATAGTGGATATTACGAAATAAAATTGGTGTGGTTTTGTGTAACAACTGTCTGCGTAACTGAAGAATTAGTGGAATCGTTAAAATATACGCTATTCCGGTCAAGTGGACGTGAGAATTTTATTGTAGTGTTGACTACCTCACAGAAGCTTATCGAAAAAGCCAACTCGATACATTTCGTGCCAAACACTCCAAGAAACATTAGAATGCGTCACACCGACATTCTAATGCAAAAACAAAAAGAAGATTAATTTAATTAAAGACCAGGCTGTATGGGCATTGTTCCCTTTGCCTTCCCTAAAACGGGAGAACTTCAACAAAAAAAAATTAACTTACGTTTGAATTCAGAATCTGTCATTCTTATCTGAATATTCATTGTTTTTGAGGCCGACGGAAAGGGCGCCAACGTTCAAAGAGTTAAGCGGAATTTTGAAAATATTTTGAATTAAATTCTTTGAAAGCCCTTCATTCCCGTTAAATTTGTCATAACCTAAGTATTTTAACCAATTAACTTATAATTTTTATAATATGAGTGACGAAAGTGGGGGCAGAATTTCTGCCCCCAAAAGAAAACTTTTGAATGTAGAAGAGGATGCACCACCGGAAAAAATGGCGGCTAACTTTAGCCGTAGTAAAAGGGGCTTATTCAAAGATTACGTCCACATATACACTGAGGATAGCAAAAAAGAATACCCTATTTTAGTATCATCTACCACACCAAACATCAAGCTCGACATTATGAAATTAAATGCGTTATTAAAATCTTGTTCAGGGCTGATGTATGTAAAAGCTATAGGAAATTACCTTATTAAAGTTTTCTTTGCTACCAAGAAAGATGCAAACAGTTTTCTTCTGAATAAGGAGATGCTTGAAAAAAATGGACTGCAAGCAAAAATACCCTATGACCATTTAGAATGTTTGGGAATAATAAAAGCACCAAAGGAACTGTCTGAAGAAGATTTATTAATCAAGCTTAAGTCAACTTTTGAAATAATTGGTGTAAAGCGCTTTATGAGAAAAGATGCTG